GCCATATATGTGCACCAAGTGAGCTGTTCAACGACACGCTTTTTCTCACGCGCGCTTTGATGCCAAGAGCTTTAAGGGCTGAGCTTAACCAGGTAAGGACTAGTGCGCACTGCTAGTCTGAGTTAGCCTCAGCTTCAACAAATTGATCGCTCCTTCCCTCGTTTCTCACGTTTCTGATCTACCCATCAGCTCTTCGACAACAACTTTACTCACCACGGGGGTCCGTTGTTTGCTTTCAGACTGATCACTCCACATCGGCTTCAGCTTCACATTCACGTTCGAAACCTTACTGATCATCGAGGTCCAGCAGAAGGTTTGGTCCACTGGACATCCACGCAGGTCTCCCTTGGCAGTCGTCCAGCGTTTCATCAAGCTATTCCTCGTCACGAACACCTTACACACACCTCTTCGCCTTCCATAATCACCATACCACAGTCTGTTCCTCATCCTGCGTTTGCAGCTAAAATCTTCCGTCACCGCTCATCCTCTACCTCAATCCAACACACCACCTACCCCGACTCTCTCCATCACGATCTTCTCCCTCGCTTCACAAATTCCACAATACACCTCGCCCTGTCCAGCGACCGTCTGTATCAGCACCAGCAAGTTTTCATTGGAAATCACTGGTGTACATAGACGATCAATTCAAGATATCAAACCAACCAAAAGCTCACTGATTTCCCTGATCCGATCGACTCTTGTATACCATTAACATCTAGCAATCATGTCGGCATCACCATCAACACTCGCAGCGACTCCACAGGCCAACCAGAAGCGCCCTCTCGATGATGAATCTTCTCCATCCGGTCCCACAGATCAGCCTGACGCAAAACGTCCTGCTCTCGACAAGGCAGTCAAGGAGGACGAGGGCACCGACGAAGACGCAAAGACCAGCACGACCTTAGCAAATGAAGATGCTCCACTTGCTTCTACTGAGGGAGTCAAAGCTGAATCTGGCGCTGCCCCTGTCGCGAATGGACACACAGATACCCAGGGCGATACGGTAGTGCCGGATGCACCTAATGGAGCAGGTCCTTCGGCAGCGTCCGTGCTGGAAACCCAGCCAATACAATCCACAGGTGGCCAATACGATCGAGCTACATCACAAGGACCTATGCAACATCAGGGGCATCAGGATGAGACTGGCTGGCTTCACATTCGTGCGGTGATCTCAAGCGCTGAAGCTGCCACGGTTATTGGCAAAGGAGGAGAGAACGTTTCCCAGATCCGTCGCTTTTCTGGTGCCAAGTGTACCGTGAGTGATTATTCTCGAGGTGCGGTAGAGAGGGTCCTGACTGTTAGTGGTTTGGTGGACGCAACAGCAAAGGTACGACGGCATCTTTTTCGCCGTTCACATGTTTTCTAATGCTGACAAACATAGGCTTTCGGGCTTATCATACGGACTTTGAACAACGAGCCCCTTGAGGCTCCTTCTACCTCCCAGTCCAAGACGTATCCGCTACGTCTGCTCGTTCCTCACATCCTGATCGGCTCTATCATCGGGAAATCTGGCGTACGCATTCGTGAGATTCAGGAAGCATCTGGCGCCCGTCTCAACGCATCCGACTCGTGCTTGCCTCTCTCCACAGAACGATCTCTCGTCGTTCTCGGTGTCGCAGATGCTGTGCACATTGCTACTTACTATGTTGGACAGACGCTTGTGGAGCAGCTGACCGAGCGCTTCGGTGGCCCAGCAGCTTCGGCGTATGCTACTCGAAGCGGAGGACCTGCTGGTGTCGTTCCCGGCGGTATGCAAGTCGTCCCTTACGTGCCTCAGCCTGCTGGAGGCCAATATGGTCATCCTGACAACTATCGACGACACAACAATCAGCCACAACGTACGCCTGCAAACCCTTATGGCGTGCCATATCTTCATGGTCAGCCACCCCAGCAACAGCCTCAAGCACCCGTCCACTATGGCGGTTCTCCTCAGCAAGGTTATGCGGGAGCTGGGCCACATCAACCTCCACAGCACGGAGCCCATCAACCAACCCATAGCCATGCGGGACCACCAGCGCAACCCGTTCAAGGCATGGTGCCAGGTCAGCCATTGACTCAGCAAATCTTCATTCCTAACGACATGGTCGGCGCTATCATTGGGAAAGGTGGCGCGAAGATCAACGAGATCAGACAGCTCAGCGGCAGCGTGATCAAGATAAATGAACCGCAGGATAACAGCAATGAGCGACTAGTCACTATCACGGGAACCTCCGAGTGCAATCAGATGGCGCTTTATATGCTCTACTCGAGACTCGGTAAGTCTTTCCCACAAACGCGCACTGACTCCAAATTGACCATCGTAATAGAGAGTGAAAAGCATCGGATCTAGAGGGTCAGGGGGTGCTGCGTTTACGAATTTGATTGAGGCCGGTTGTTGTGATGGGCGACCCCTGGAATGTTGTAGCCGACAGCTACCTGGCGTTTTCTAAAATGGCTTGTGCTCAGGGTCAATCCCATTAACCAATGTTTATTCGTTCGTTGCAGTACTAGGGTCCGCATGAGTCTTCTTTGCAGCAACGCCCCGTAGCACTGCGCACAGCTAATGCCGCCGCTTGTGGGATTTACAATGTTTGCAACTCTGTCATTCCGGAAGCGGTGCTGCTCTCGCTAACGCGGAACCGAGGAAGCTTTGTCTCGGCAGCTGCCATCATCTTCTCAGTTCAAATTTTCGAAGACTTGAACCTTCATCCACGTTTGCGGTCATTTCTTTGCTGTCCTGTAATGCGAATACTGATCCGTCTTCCTGCTTCCAGCATGTTTCGAAGAGATCTTGTCATCAGCACCATGACCCCAGAATACAAATTTCATACTACGTCTTGCGTTCTACCTTCAAGGTACCTGTTTCATCGCTCCTGCCAACATGATTTCCTTATCAAGCAATATTCGTTTCGAACGACTATCTACCAAGATAGCGCCTACTATGCATGGTATCACTACGCTCGATGAGGTTCCTGCGAAGAAGAAACACATTACTAAGACGAAGGAAATCGTCACTACCGTACCCAAAACCATCGTGCTACCCACTCCGTCCACCCCAACGAGGTATGGCTCCCTAGCACTCGCCTCGACGGCGCACTAAACAAAGAAAGACACCTCTTCAAGACACCCGTTACCCTCGCGATTGGCCCTACCAATCACCCCTTCCACCTCCATCTCGAAGCCCTCTGCTCGATCTCTCCCTTCTTCTCTGCTGCCTTCAACCCCGCCTACTCCTTCCGCGAATCTGTTACCTCCACCCTCTCCCTACCCGAGTGCAATCCGACAGATTTTGAATACTTCGCTCAATGGCTCTACACACGCACCCTAACCCACGAGAGCCTAGATGGGCCCCATCCGGCTTATTTCAAGCTGATTAAGCTTTGGAAGCTGGCGAGCTTTCTCGGTATCACGGCACTGAAGAATAGCATCGTGGATGAGATCGGGTGGAGGGCGGACGAGACCAATAGCGTCCCGACGCCGGACGATACGAGATCTTTGTGGGGAGGCGAGGAAGAAATGGGTGGGTTGAAGGAGTTGGTGGTTGATTTGTTTGCGTGGTAAGATGACACCCCTGCGCCGTTGGTAGTGCGAGTGCTCATGATGTGGTGAAGGAAGAAGACGGACGCGCTGGTTCAAGGACATCCTGATAGCTGGGATGAGAGGTTCTTGAGGGAATTGGTGGGGAGGTTGAAGAGAAAGGGCAAGGACGCGGCGCCGTGGAGGGATAATGAGGAGAGGTGTAGGAGGTATCATGAGCATGATCGCTTGGCGCCTATGTGTGAGGGGGTCGAGGTACTGAAGGAGGAGTAAGGAGCTCAATTGGCATTCTGCGTGATGAGAACCGTTGCCTGTCATCGCTTGGAAAGACAACGTGTTGGCTGACACAGTTTCTATTCATAACATCGTAGGCTTAGGCTGCTGCTGCTTCTGATATCCTGTTATCTCTTTCATGCCTCCGCATTAGTTTCTTTCTATTGCTAATTTTCCGCAAATTTCGTATGATGCACCTCCAATCCCAACGGGTCTCCCCTAAGCAAATGTATATTATCCTTAAACGCCTGCGTCTCCCTAAAAGACATGTGCGCCTCCACGCTCTCCCATCCCAGCACCCCCACATACGCCTTCCCCTTCTTCCCCTCGTATTCCACGTCCTCAATCACCCACCCTCCTGACGCGGCCTTGAAACCCTCGGCGTTCTCCGAAATCACTTTGATGAGCTGGTGCACCTTTGATTCGAAACCGTCGTCCTCTTTTTCAAAGTAGCAGGTCAGGACCTCGGTGACAGGGGAGGCGGTGCCGACGGCGGCGGTGGGAGGGTGAGGGGTGAAGTTTGCGTGATACATGGAGAAGGGCCCATCGACGATGGTCATGAGATGCTTGGCGAAGGGGCCGTAGGCGGGGGAAGCCATGAAGTTTTTGTGGGCGTCGAAGGAGTCCCAATCTGTGGGGAACCGAGGATGTCAGTTGCCTTGGTCGTTGTGGAAGAGCTGAGGGTTGATCTACCAATGAAGAGTTGAATCACGCTCTGGTTCTCGACCTCTCGGCCCCAGTACAATCTTTGAAAGCCGTCCTGTTGCGAAACGGTGTCTAACGTTGACTGCCATACCTTTCCGGCTGAAGAGTTGAGATCTTCTACTGCTGCACCGCTTGCAATGGGAATCGTGGCGAGTTCTGTTGCGGGAGCCATTATGAATCGTTTAAACCAGTCAATGGTTGAGCAACTATAATAGTCAAAATGCCTAGATGGTGGTCAGTTAAAGATGTCAATGTCTTTGGTTCGTCATCATGACGCCGGCAAGGCCGGACATACGAGTACCTTAGCTCCGTACATCCTAGTCGGATTAGATAACGACGGTAGCATCAAGCATTTCCAAGCCAAGGCTTGCAGAGATTGTTCTGTGTGGGTGACGCTGAGTCCTTAACCATTGTGTCCATTTCCATGATCTGCCGCTGGAGGATTCGATGAATGATCTATCGTTGCTGCCTAGTAGTTGGCGAAGTATTTCCGTACACCGTCAGTGATGAATGACGAATACGACCACGACTTCGATGATGAGCCAACGAACGAAGACCTATCGGATTACGAGGACCTACGTGTTGCACTTCTCTCCGTATGTAGCAGAGTGAGACTGGGAGCGGAGCCACTGTTGTACCAGCGAAAGACCATTGTCTTACCGGCGACGGATCCTACCGCTCGATTCCTCAAACGCTGCCTGCACAACGACACAGGCAAAGCTTGTGTGGGATCAATGGATATCAGTCTCGACGTCCCAGACATGACTTCAAGTGACAGACAAGTGGTCTGGGATGAGGAACTGGCCTTGTGAGAGACGACATGCTTTTTCCCAATAAGGCGCCGTTCCATTGGCCAGAGACGCTCTCATAGAAAACATGCATGACGCATAGCAAGTACGCCAGGAAGTTTTATGGCCTCGCAAGGTGTCCTACATAATAGACTTTCTTTTCTTAAAGAAATTGGCTGTCGATCTTCAGGAAAGCAAGTGCCTTGACGCTTGTTGCTTCATGGCTCTTCAAGACATCGAGTCTATGAGCAAAGGATTCGCTCTAGCTTTGCCAGGGCAAGACGAGCCGTTGGATCTCAGGGGCCAAAGCGCCTTGGAGCCGCTAAGGGATGCGACAGACTCAGTACAGAGTACAGATGATGGGGAACTGGGAAGCTACTCAGCTAGAACCCTGTCCGCGGCAAAATTCAATTGGCAATGGTAAGTTCCGACCTCAAGCCGCTCCGTGCTCATCATTGTCCCTTGCAACGGGCGTGAGAAAAGAACCCCATTGGCTGGAGAAAAAGGTGAAACTAAAAGATGACGGGTCTACTCGCGCGGCCAAAAATCCATCCTCTTGGCCTTCCAGCGCGGATATACTCATCAATTGACTTGTTCACTGAGGCTACCATAAAAAGCAGCATCGATTGATGGGTACCTGCTTGCCAAGCGAACCCGAGTCAACTGTAGCGAGTGATATTTCAAATTGTCAAAAGTAGAGTACTTTCATACGGCACCTTCAAAACGACTGAAAGAAAAGATCGGCGGGAAAGCTTTTTCAGCAGGTGTCTTAGTGAAGACTGCTCCAGACTGGTCCTTGCCGGACTAGCTACTGATTGGTTATCAGCCGAAGGATCGCTACATGAATCAAAGACGCCATTTCAACACACTGTCAAGGCTCATGCATGCTTTACACTCGGGCTTCTGAAGACAATCGGAAAGTAGTACTTCCCAACTAATAGAGCAGGCCCAAAGAGAAGGTCTTGGTCTCACAGTAGCGAGAGATAGCTTGCAGGACCTGCAATGAAGCTTCTTGGGGACGCCCGTGCTTCCGGAGATGATTCTATCCGACAATGGCTTGGTCACGTTCAGCAACTTGGTCGTACTGTGGCTATCTGGGTATTTAATTAGTCGGTGATCGACCGAATGCAATGTACGAAGGTAAGATGACGAGGTTGTCGATAGATACTCGTTTTTCAGCTCGGACGAGACACTGGCGCGTGAAACGGAGAAGCTCACTCTACTGTCACAACCGCCAAAGGCCAGAGGGGGCTGGAGTTGACCATTGTCAAAGCTCTTAGACTGGTGGAAATAAACCAGCCGATTATCGCCAGGAGCGGGGAAGCACTTTCAAGTCGATCTTGGATCAGTGAATCCTGGTCTACGGTGCCGACGAGTTCCTGGTTGAGGAGATGATGCAACACGCGTATGTTCGAATCTTTCAAGTGATTTAGTAGGTTGGTATCTACTAGTTGTCAAGAAGGCTGCGCTTTTCTCATAGGTGGAGAAGTTTCGAGGCTTTCGAGACCGGTGAGTCTTCTCTGTCTAGAAGATAAGATACACTCGCATCTCTTTCAAGCACTCAAAGATCTGGAATTGCGTGATGCAGCCTGGCAATACAGCCTGTGGTAGCGTATGCATGTATGCATTCTTGACCAATCATCCATTCGGCAACTTGGAAAGATCGTATACATGCAGGACGGGTACTGGCCGAAGCGAAGGTATGCGTACCCAATCGCGGTCCAAGCGGTCTGGGAAATTCCCTATGTCAATAGCTAAGACTCGGTTGACTAGGTAGGCTCCCGATATGCCATCCCCCGCAAATACAAACAACCCCTCAAGTAATCACCCACCCTCAATAAGGACTTCCCATTTGAATTATAGCCTCCTTATTCAATGTTCTTATTTTCGTTCTCACCATCTTCATTTCTTCGTCCGCAGTCATGCCACATATTAAGGAGTCTGAATCCGGATCCGAATCTAATTGCGCTGTCAAGGAGAGGCGGACCCGAAGGCGAATAATCAGATGTTGCGAAAATTGTCGATCAAGCAAGAGCAAGTGCAGCAAGTATCCTGATCCTTGCAAAAGATGCCTTGAGAATAGATTGGAATGTGTTTACCTCCCTCAGGATGATGAGGGATGGGAGGTGATAGAGAAAGGGAAAGAAGAGCATCACAAGATCGACAACAAAATTGCGAAAAGAGCGAGGAAGGAGGATGCGGAGGATGGATCCGAAGAAGGGAGCGACATTGAGCCAAGTCCCCTTATTGCTACCGATGCTACCTACGGAGATGATGATGATTTTGAGGACAACGGAATCCGAGTTGGCAGGTACAATCTTACCAAGAGGATAGGTTCAGATTATCGCCCGAAAATGTTGGAGGAGGCAAGTAATCTGTGACTCTCGCCGCTTTCAGCAAGGGCTATAGCATTACTGATTCATCATAGCTGACGCAAATGCTCGACAAAAATGATCTTCACAGAACGGATAACGATAGAAAAGTATTCAACAGCCTACCAAGGCCACGTTGGCTTGATGCTGCCGCTGGGCCCAAAGTCCTCGACCCTGACCCCGATTTTATCGCACCTTCACTCTTCTCGCATACCTTGCAAGTCAACCAGGACATTCATGAGTTCCTTTGCTCCCTAGACCTCGCGGATAGGATTATGGAAAACTACTGTGAGTGTACTTTTAGGAGCCTTTTCACCCCGTCGATGCCATAGTTGAGTCCCAAGACATGTCCCGGGAGCAAATGCTCACGATGTTTCCCAAATTCATTTATGACTTGAGTTTTCTGCCTCAAAGAATACCATTCTGACTCCGAAATGTGCAGGGGAATGTGTTCATCCTGTCGCCTGTATAGTTCATCGGCCATCGTTTCAGGAAAGGTACGACGTCTTCTGGCACAATATATCTAAAGGAGTAAAGGACACACCCGAGTCCACCCAAGCCCTCGTATACGCTGCTCTCTTTGCCGGCGTCGTGAGCATGGATGCCGAAACAGTCAGAGAGGAGTTGGGAGGCGAGAGGGAAGAATGGGTGGACACCCTCGAAAAGGCCACGGCTTTCTCCTTAAGTCGTGCCCATGTCATTCGCACGGAGAAGCCTGAGACAATTCAAGCTTTCGTTATGTATTTGGTGAGACATGCATCCGTTTGCAAGCCTTGAATAGAAAGCTGCAGCGAATCCCAGCGAAAGCGTTGAAAAGCGCCGCTATACGATAGGGCTAATCATCGATACAGATCCCTATGTGCCGAGATATCATTTCCCGCACGCTCGCAACACTTGTGGCATCGGCTATCGATCTTGCACGAGGCATGGGACTCAACAAAGACGGTACTTATTACGGGTATGATGTGGTAGTGACTCAGGTCCATCGTATGATCTGGCACCAGCTGTGCTTTCTGGACATCCGAGTGTGTGAGGCGCAAAGTCCAAGGGCGAGAATCCGAAAAGACGATTTTAACACACAGTTTCCCCTCAATGTTGATGATTCTGAGCTCGAAAAACCTGATATCCCCAAAGAAAGTAGTGAAAGATGGACTGGCATGACCCCGACTAACGCTCGCATGGAGTGCAACGAGAGGATCAGGGAAATCTATGCCGCTCGACAACGAGCTCGACAGGGAAATGACTCGGACTCGGCTTACATTAAGAAGATGTTGGAGATGATCTACGAATTTCGACAATACATGGAAAAGAAATACTACCCCATGATTGACGACAGGATTCCAATACAGCATTACACCCGGCTCGTTATAGATTTACATTGCAGGCGGATGCATGCGATGGTCCTACATGAGTATCACATGAGCACAGCCCGGGGAAGGATGCCAGGTAATGCCCTACACTTCTATTCCACCAAGTCCGCTGTTGACTGGTACGTTATTAGAGCAATGGAGCCGAACCGTGATCATGTCGGGGCTCGAGACAATGGAGATTGCCAAAGAAATCGAGACCTCATGTTTTCTACGCCGCTGGAGGTGGTACGCAGGGGCACTGCAGCAGCACAGTTATGCTACGCTTATGTTGATAGAGGTTTTTGCGTTTCCTGGTGCGGACTATGCAATGCGCGCGTGGGAATCGTTGGATTGGATTTTTCAAGTCCCTTCTTGCGTTCCGCACACTCACAAGGCTCGTTGGGTAATGGAGGGAGCGGTTGGCGTCATGAAAGAGTACCTCAAGGCAAGAAAGTTGCGCTGTCCAAGTCTTATGGATGAGCGATTGGAAACAGCACCGAGCAGTCGTCGAATGCCCACATTGCCAAAGTTGAGGGAAATCGTTGCGAGACCGACGAAGACGGCCACTACGGCCCAGTCCAGGGACAAAGGCACCTCTCGTTCTGGTCAACCCCAAGTCTATTCCAAAGGTATCATCTCCCTTAGCCATTATGGGACGCTTGCTAACACCGATCTACTAGATCGTGCATTGAATCAAATACTGTTGACGAGCAACATGAGATCAAGCCTTCAAGACATGGCAACGACTTCCAGTGCTCAAGCAATGTTCATGGATGGGGTAACTTACGAGAATACAGAACAACTACGTACTCATCCTGCAAAATTGGAACGGGTTTCCAGTGAAGAGTATTCCTACATACCTACCTCTGCTGACATTTCACCGGACGACCTCATGGATACTAGTCCATCTTGGCAGACCCTTGTTGACTCCGACTCGGCGGTCGATCAATCTGGATATTCCGCTCAGGAGAAGATCGCGAGGTCTTTGAGTTGTTTACGTAGCCAAACTGCTGGGGATGGTGGAGGAGGTGTGGGTGACATCTCACGTGCGGGGTCATCCAACTTTGCGCCGGATCACAGGATGTACTATCCTCATTCCAGCTGGAACAGAGATACCGTGTCCCTGCAGAACCCTCCCCACATCCCCACTGGCAATGACAGCTGGTATGACCATAACAGCTCACACGGCCACTCACGTAGCAGCTCGCACAACAACACACAGATACTCGACGAAGGCTCGTATGTGCACTTCTCAGACCATCCTTCCTTCTCCATCCTAGGGGGTTCGTCAGGCTTCACGCCAATCAACCAAGACAAATACATGCCAGGTCCTGCTCAACGGTATTACAGATCACCCTACGCCACAGAGGTTTGATTGGTCGCTCATCCGAACCGTCCGCCGCAGCTAAAGGAGTTCAGGCATATCGGACCAAGCGGCTACAAGGAGCCGAAGGAGTCGTAGAAAAAAACGATGGACACGATTGCGGTACGGGAAGTCCAGGGCTAACATGGGGCACCAGAGTTGCAGTCACTGTATATGTGGAAGGGTAAGTGGGCGGAGGTCTGGGTCTAAGTGACGCTGGATATCTACAGCGGAGGTCTGAGTGTGGCATGACGTTGAATATACTCTCTAGGCTCAGGTCCAACTGATGACGCACATATCCATTTCCTGTTCCATTTCATCCTCTGATTTATGGGCATCAATGACACGTTCGAGCACCATGCTCCAATCTAATATCGCAAGGCTGTCGAACATCGAAGATCTGCTCAAGCCATGTAGAGTTCAGTTCCATGCTCGTGATGTGAACTTGTAAGGAAGAGCACAGTAGGATAGAACAAAGACGACGAGAGGCATTGAACAGCTCTATATCGACATGGTATTCGCCACCTGTTTGCAAACGCCTGCGCTAACGCTGGTGATGCTACTGATTTGATGCAATAATTTTCCACCAAAGGAGTATCCAAGCTCATAGTCCGCATATGCCGCTCTAATCTAGAGCCCTAATTCTGGGCCCCGTCTTCGAAAACGCCTCTTTCATTATCAGATTCACTTCCTGCCGTCTCTGCGCTTTCTCCCTATATCTCTGCACCTCTTCCGGCGTGACTTCCTGGATTGCCTTCCTGGGTGTTCCGGGTCTGTTCGTTGATCTGCCTGGAGTGTATGATTGTCCATTCTGAACGGACCTACCTCCTGAACTGGGAAACTGTTTGGACTTTGGCGATGTTGAAGGAAGCGGCGTAAAAGGAGACCCTTCCCTACTGCTCTGGCTTAGAGCTGCAGACGAGAAGCGTAGATGGCGCATTTGGGTTTCCAAAACGTCAATGTCCCCGCTCTTTCTCTCGACCATGCTTGTCATCTTCTTTATTGTATTGGTGACCGCCTCCACTGTGGGCTTCTTTAGAGGTCGGCCGTTGGCGTTGCTAGTTTCACATGATGCTAGCTTGGCTCTCAGCATCGTGATGTTCTCCTCAGTCTCAGCGAGCAGCTTCTGGAACCTCATGAATTGCTTTCGCAGTTCATGCTGCTGGGTGGCTTGTTCGAGGCGTAGTGGTGCAGTCCTTGCAGACTCGGCGACTTCGGAGTCAGATCTTGTTTCGACAGCTTTGGCGAAGTCGCCACCTTTGATTCGGAGTGCGGCAACACCTTTGCGCAGATCGCGACACTCATTGAGCTTCTTTTGCACATCTCGTATCTGGCCAGCTTCGAGCTTCTGCTCTAGCTTATCCTCGACGGTATTCAGGTCGCCTATCTCGATGAGACACCAGTCATCATCTTCAAGATCTTCTCTGGAGCGACCGCTTTGCTTGTGCAGTTCCGTGTGTCCTTTCACGAATGCTGTGAGTGATCGGGCGTTCAGTCCCAGAGTGTCGATCATTGAATTGATGTCCCGATAGACCTTTTCGATTTGTCCAGGCATGCCAGGCTTGTCGACAGCGCCAATGTAATCCTGATGAGCGAGGAATGGATCTAGTGTCTTCGTACCCTCTACTTCCGTCCCAAGCTCTTCACGCACTCTCTCATCTTCCCTGTCGCTAAGATCTTGATCCTCTTCAGCAGCTTGCTTAGCTTTTTGAGCAGCTATCCGCTCTCGTTCTTGCTTTCGTACTTCTTCTGCTGAGGGCTGAGGTTTTGACGGAACTGCGAGTTGACTCAATGTATTTTTTCGGTTCGCGAGTGCTTTGAAAGGACCAGGGGCGCTGACCGATCTCGAGTTGTCCGGTCGTAGTGAGTCTCCAGCAAGCATTGAACGCACTGGACTCGGTGATCTTGGACTCTCTTGGGTCTTCGAGGGCGGAGAAAAATAAGGTGCTGAGGTTTTACCAATCTCTCCGAAAAGAGATCTGCCAGCTTGACCACCTTGCGGTTGCGAGACTCTTGAAAACAATCCTCCCACGGGACTCTTGTCTAAAGGTCCACCGAAAGAGCTTCCAGGAGTGATCTTCGGGCTCTGAGTAGGATCTGTGCTGGGACTGATCTCTTGGGCAACGTCAACGCCGCTGCCTTCGTCATCCAAGCCCTCTTCTTCATCTTCATCTCCTTCTGCGTCTGCATCCTCCTCCTCGCCTTCATCCTCATTCTCTGGTAATGCAGCTTGTGCCTCGGGAGGGGGCTCAACTTCCTTGAGTTTAGTCTTCGATGGTAGGAAGTCAGGTGGCAGAGGAGCTTCCTCGGACGATTTAGAGGAAGTGGAGGAGTCGCCAGGCGCAAAGCTTGTCTTACTCGTTGACTCTGGCGGTACGGGATCCTCGAGACTCTTGGTTCCTATAGGAGAAGGAGTTTTTGGAGTACCAAAGCCTAAGGGAGGAGCAGCCTCTTCTTCATTTAGCGGAGAAATGTTATCGTCGTCCGAATGCGGCTCTTCCTTGATCTTTGGGGATATCTCCACAGAAGGTCGAATCGGCTGTTCAGGCTTTTTGGGCGTGTCATTTGGCGTTGTGGTAATAGGAGTTGGTTTTCCAAAGGTGAAGCTAGAAGGCTGACTGCTATGTACAGCAGCGGGAGTGGTCTTGCCTTGAGCTTGCGTTCCAAAGAGCCCGCCTGTAGAAGGTGGTACACTCGGAAATTGGAATTTGGGCGGGGTTGGCTTAGCAACTGGGGTTGTCGTTGAACTGTGCACAGGATCAGGTTGAGCGCTCTGGGCCGGAGCACTGTCGTCTTCATCCATATCTGCATCCTTCGTGTGAGGAGTAGCAGCCTCTTTCTGTGCATCGCCTAGCGCACTGCGAAAGCCGTCACCAAACATCGACTTGGATTCGTTGCCTTCGGGCTTCGGAGCCTCATTTGCTGGAGGACCATCTCCTTTAAAAGTCGTGCCGAGGGTGAAAGCAGCGCCACCGCCCCCGAAAATGCTCTTAGGTGCTTCAGCGTCCTTCTTAGACGTTGCTCCAAAGCTCGTATCTGTGCCCATGCCGGAGCCAAAGGACGCGCCTTGCGCACTTTTGCCGAATGGACTCTGTGCGGCACTAGGTGGTGCTGCGGTCATGAAGCCACCCGTTTTTGCAGCAAAAGATGCAAAGCCTCCAGAATTCGGGGCAGCAGCGGTCGCTGGCGTGTTGGATCCAAACGCATTACCAGTGGATGGGGCACCAAACGCAGATTGATGGGCGCCACTAAAGCCAGACTGCCCGAAAACGCTACCCGAAGCCGCTGCTGTTCCAGAGGACGGTGTACCCCATACGGAACCACGGTTACCAAAGCCACCAGCAGTTCCAAAAGCCGCAGCGCCCGTGGGGTTTGGACCTCTACCAGTACCGCCCATCACGCTACCCATTGGTGTGGAAGACCCAAAAGAAGGCTGTCCAAATGTCGAGCCTCCGCTCTGGGAGGTGGTAGGGGTCACTGTTGGCGCTCCGAACGGTGACTGAGACTTGCTAGCACCGAAACCGGATATTGGAGAACTCGTCATCCCAAACGCAGAGGTTGCTGGCTTGCTGAATGCGCTGCCAAAGCCGACCGCTGGGGTCGATGGCTTTCCAGAAGTACTCTGGCCAAAAGCAGGCGCTGCTTGGGTACCAGCGCTAGCGAATGGCGAGGCCTGCCTTTGGGTCTGTGGCTGTTGCTTTGTTTGAGGCCCGCCAGCGGCGACCAAACCTGGGTAGACAGTCCCTTGTCTAATGGATTCCGCATATACTATCCACCAAGAAGATAGTACGCCCTCGTTGTTCAATATCATTAGCGCCGGTAATGGGCCCTGCGAAGCATCAAATTCCTCCTTGGGCAGCGGGCGCAGTACTTTGTCTTTGCTAGAGAGATCAAAGCAGACACCTATGGGAGAAGTGTCTGTCTGATCTTTTGACATTGGCATTTGGGCACGTCTCGAATCGTCGGCCATAGCAGTTGTTGTGAAGACACTAGTAACCTTCTCGGCGGGAGCATCGTTCGTTAGAGGGGTCTTCGATCTGGTGACTAGGCCGATGTCTATAGACGTCGTAGACGCTACGACTATAATATCCTGTAGATTTGGCGGGTAATCCCTTAGGCGCTGCATGAATTGAAAAGCTGGAGACCGGTGGAGCCCAAATGGAGGACAAGGGTCAGGAAGCTTTTGAAATACCATGGATGTCTGGGGTTTGGTCTGTCGAGTAACCAGGTGATAGGTGGTTTCAGGTATCATCCCACCATCTGAAGATGAAGGGGTATGAGCGACGAGGAAAACATCGTTTTCAAGCCAAGATATTGAGGAGACTAAGAAGGTCAGCATCTATTTCATGCACGACTACACTTGGATTTTCACCATGCTGATCACCATCCAAGCCAGGTGGTCGAGAGAGTTCTGCTTTGCCTTCCCCTTCTGGTGTCATCTGATAACACGTCCCATTCCCAAGACCTCCAATCAGCTGCTTTCCACGAGCACTCCATGAAACACAGCTAACACCGTCTTTCAGGACCTGACCTTGAGGTCCACTAAAAAATTCACGGGATTTGAGGTTTGCCATTAACAATTGCCCGTTTGTAGACACTGCAGCGAATAGCTCCGCCCTTTCTGGTGTTGGATTCGGCAATAGAGCGCGAAGAGCAGTACCGTTAGTGGTGAGCTGGAACGCTGGCTCGGTAGAACCCTGCATGAGAGATCGAACATCGTAGACCGCCAGGCCTCCACCGTTTTCTGCTGATAGCACAAGAAAGCTTTCATCAGCGGAGAACGCGACCTGTGACACCCTCATGCCGACATTGAGGGTCAACTGAGGAGTAAAGGGTTTGGTGGTGCCATCCGCTACGCTTTCTGCAGAAAATCCTTGACGTACCGACTCCGTGCCGGCTACGATAACTGACTCGGGTCCAGCGGCTGCAAGGAGGCCTTTCTTTGGCGCTACAGATAGTAACGAAGCGGTAGGAGGAGGGAGGGAGTCGATGGGCCACGGGGATGGTAGTAATTGTAGTTTTGTTTCACCTGCGATCGCTTGAAAGCCAAGTGCCTTTTCAAGCAGTCAGAATCAATCAGATACTGTAGGAGCCACAGCCAACTGACCTCAGTCGATATCTCCTCCAATTCGGGACCCTGTTGTATCGGGGAGCTACTTGAGGTTCCAGCAGTAACTCCGAATGGGGAGGGGCTTGCTCGAAACGCCATTCTTGCCCTTTCAAAATTCGGAGAGACTGTTCGCACTTCTCGGCTTGAGGTCTGTTTGTTGATTTTGGCATTAGGCGTTGTTCGAGGAGGCGCTGTAAAAGAGTGTCGTCGGGCTAACACAGGAGTCCCGGTGAAGATTTTGAAGGTACGGTCCAGGATAGAAGCTGTGTTTTAGGTAGCATAAAGTATCGTTGTCATGTAACAAACAACTCGGCTGCGACGCTTTATCGAGTCAACAGGGTGAAGTGAACAGAGAGCTTGTGTGAGTCGCGCTTTGAAGCTCTTGGAAGGTCTTGGCGGCGTAAAACTAGCGCGTCTTTGTCTCAGGCAGCTCCATCCTCGTCAACTTCACTATCAGCTTCAATACTACCCCAATTCAATCAAGAGAATTACGAGAGGCGAATCATATGGTTTCTCTGTTTGAACTCGTCTGAGAACAGCCTTCACGCTCAAAGCATCCGTTTGCTACTCAAAAGCTGGTGTGTACAATCCTCAGTCAATACTTCTTCCCTCCGCCGCCATGCCTGGCTTCGACTTCTCCAACCACAACCGCAATGCAGCTCTGCACGCACAAGGAGTGCAGTTACCAAAAGCCACCAGCACCGGTACAACGATCGTTGGAGCTATATTCGATGGAGGAGTCGTCATAGCAGCAGATACAAGAGCTACATCTGGACCAATAGTAGCAGACAAGGTGCATCCACGTTCTTGATCGAGCTGTATCCTGCGCTGACAGCCATGTCGTTCTAGAACTGCGAGAAATTGCACTACATCGCTCCCCAAATATGGTGTGCAGGCGCTGGAACAGCTGCAGACACAGAATTTACCACTGCCATCATCTCATCCAACCTCGAACTCCACGCTCTATCAACAGGCCGCAAACCCCGCGTCGTCACGTGCATGACTATGCTGAAGCAACACCTTTTCCGACACCAAGGCCACATCGGTGCATATCTCGTGGTTGCTGGTGTTGATCCGACAGGGGTTGGCCTCTTCACCGTACATGCTCACGGCAGCACCGACAAGCTCCCTTATGTCACCATGGGATCTGGATCTTTGGCAGCGATGGCGGTGTTTGAGACACAATGGAAGCAGAAGATGACTAGGGAAGAGGCTATAAAGCTGACATCGGACGCCATTCAAGCTGGTATCTTCAACGATCTGGGGTCCGGGTCAAATGTTGATGTTTGTGTGATTACGGCGGAGAAGACGACACTGATGAGGAACTATATTACTCCAAACCAACGAGAATTGAAGCAGCGGGATTACAAGTTCAAGCGTGGTACCACGGCTGTGCTAAACGAGAAGATCATTACGAGGGAGGAGATCAGCAAGTACGTTACGGTACATGAGCTATCATCAGATGATGATGTAGTCGTTGTGGAGAAGATGGATATCGATGCATGAGGGCCAGGTCAGCTATTCTTGACTTCAAGGAAGCGGGCAAGTGGGGCCTGTACTATAATGCTTGTATTAACAGAACAGCTCGGTTCACATGATAGAGTCCGGTTCCAAACATCTACACACCAGCGAGAAAGAGAGCACAAACTTTTTGACTTGTTTCGAGAAATTTAGAAACCCTCACCGTTCTTGACTTAGCATACTTCTCTTCAGTTGCTAACAGTATGACCAACTAGTCACATGAGCATTGACACAGGACAGATGCCTGCAGAAAACGATGTCGCTAGACCGAGGATGGTCTAACGTTCTCACACCGTCCCTGGGCCTCGATCCTTGTATCCTTGAACACAAAAGCCCTCAAATCCCTACTGCAGAGACGATGACGCTAATTTCGAAACAATAACCGGTATGCCACGTGAACAGCTTCTACGAATGAGATCCGCCACGCTTTGCCCTCCATCAGCATGTTCACCATTGCATCAGACGTTGCAATGCTGTGATATCGCCTCATCCATAGAATTGAAAAGAGAAAGCACCAACAAATCTGGGATTGTTCAGGCATTGTGTAACGCATTTTTACCGCTAATCTGGAAGACGATGTTAGCAACCCTACGCCTCGGGCGCTGTTGTTGGCACCGCGTAGTGAATGTGAGGCGAAGTGTATGCGTATTCGACACAAAGCTCTGGACCTATTCCACAACGAGGAGACTAGCAAGCCAGGAAAAGCACGGAGTTAGCACACATCCAGAAGAAGGTAGATAATCTGACTAAAGCCAGCCGATTACGCCAACACTTCTGCAGCTGCAAGCATCGGAAGTGCCCATCCGAAAAGTCTGTCTTATGCTTCAGTGCTTTGGCGAGTCTGCGAACAGCCCCGAAAACAGCAAGAATCGATGGTCTGGATCTTGGTGGGCTGCGGCGGTTTTTTGACACTTATATGGCACTTATGGCCCTTGTTTGGCACCCGCATGACAGCGCATAAAACAGGCCATGATGCGCTGATCCTGCCGGCCTGGCCTCCGCTTTTGGAGTTTATAACAAGAAAGGACCCCACAAAATCTTGCTGCCTTTCGAACCGTAGCCACGGTCTCGTCGATTATCAGTCGTTAATTGTCGGCTGTATCAAGCCCACCACTACTCTAAAATTCAGCACACCAAAGCGAATCCTCCTCAAATCCTCTGCCACCCACCATGATGCCCTCCACTCTTCTCACAGCCGCAACCGACATCTTCGTTATCGCTGGGGCCGCTGCCGTGGCCGCCGCCGCCCTCAAACCCGCTCCCTTCAGGACCTCTCTCGGCACCGAGCATGATGACGATTCGCTAATTGCAGCGGAAACCAATGACGCTGTCAGCACACCAGAACAGCAACAATCACCTCTTGAGAAACATGCGGACGACGACAAGAAAGCGCCCACTGTGACCATCAGTGAAGTAGCTGTCACGCCCGTGGCGGAGATGCAAGGGGGTGATTTCTTTGCATGCGCAAAGGCCGCATAGAAGCCACATCACGAGCCATCGATAATTCCTGCAAAGCGTGCTACAGAGCCTGCCGCCTGCATACCGGCTCCAGCGCAACGTAATCGTAAGGGATGGGGATTTGCAAGTTCGCTTCACAGATACCATGCAACCAAAGGTGGCGGTGTTTTGCCGGCTTGGGGGCCATTGCGAGGGCCTCGGAGGACTGGTATGCTCTATGCGATGACGAAGGCTAATGATTAGACTTGGAGTAAACGATGTTTAGGCGCTATTCGCATATCGCGGATTTGGAGAACAAGGGTACTAAGGGTCGAGATATCTTTACATGCGCCCGCTCATGCTGTTGTGTCCACCCTTTCCCTTTCCTTTTAATTCGGACCTTCTCGTATATGCAAAGGCACCAATACGAGCATGCTTCCCGGTATCCAATTTTCGCTCATTTGTTTTCAATTATGGCTTCAACTACACACGGCTTTCGCCTTATCTATTATACCCTTGACCAACCCTTCTCTCTCCCTCATGCAAAACCCAACAGCTTCAAACTTCTCAAAACCAACGTATCCCCAACTCCACATCCCACTTCCAGCCCGTACTGACATTCCTCCACCAGCTCCGACATCTTCCCAATCCCCAACATCGACCTTGTCCTCAGTTTCAGCGTCTTTGGCCCCATTCTGGAAATCTCCGAACTGAACGAACTTCTGACCCGAGCTCAAGATGACATCCAGACGCTAATCAATCGGCACGGCGCCGACCTCCTTACACCCGATGATGAATTTGAACCGTGGCAAACCGGAGACATAGCGTTAGAGGTTTACAAGGTCACTACAGACGGGCGTTTGACGCTGGGCCAGTTTCGCAGTTTGATAGAAGGACTAGGGTTGTACATGATCAAGGGGAAGAGATCTAGGGAAGCGAAGTTTCGGCTGTTGAGGGAGGGAGAGATTTCGTTGACGAGCTTGGCTGGGGGGGATATTTGGTTGATTGGACCTGTGGCTGTAGGAGATACCGACCAGCCATATCGGCCTGCTGTCGCCACACACCTGCCAGTAGAGAACTAGCACTGTATCCACAACAGAAGTCTTGGTGGGATGGGCAACTCTTCGCTAGCTGCATACAAGATACATACACTAATGCGAGATATCCCTGGAATTGCAGATACCGTTACTCCTACATGCTCGCCTGCACTTCTTGAGACACCACATTCTGCAAATAGCGGATGCGACCAGCCGATGTCAAAGCGCGTTTCCCAGTCTTCTCCTGTGCTGGAATATAATTGTCCTGCCAGATCGATCTTGGTTTCCGCGATCTTGTCTCCAGCGTTTCCCCTCTTCGATCCTACCGTCTTCCTCCTTGACTCCTGTTCATATGTACGCGTACGCTTCCTCTGTTCTCGCCGCTTTTTACCATGGCGTCGTCCTACAACGGCCCTCATAAGGTGCAGACTTTCGAGCACTTTGCACAGGAGAGACTCGATAAGGACGTTGAGTCTAGCACCAGCGTTTCATCACACGCTAAAGAATTACCTCTTCGTACGTCCTTGGTTCGAGATTCAATGAAGAAGAAAATCTTCGCATACATGGACAAGGGCGACAGAAGCGCAGATATCGAACTTGAAAGCGGCCTCTCGCACCCGAGAGTCAAGCATTATAGACGTATGTGGAAGGACGAGAGGCATGATCCTTGTCTTCGGTCCAAGAAGAGGTTGAGAAGGAAGGCACGGAGCCGAGTACCATCGTATGAGCCATTTCAGCTTCTCCTACGATTAAAGTCAGCCTGTGATGAAAAGCCCGAATTGTTCCAAGTCGGCAAGAGCGTCGGAGACAAAAAGGCAAGCAAAAGCACCGCGCCGCCAGGGGACTAAAAATACGCGAGGCGAACCCGAGAAGGGAGGATGCTGAATGTAGTATACAGGAGACGATTGACATGCAGATGAAAGCATCGGACTGTTCCCATGCTACTGAAAGTCAACTCGTGATAGGACTGAGCGAGAAGCCGACGCTACGATAGCTGATCGGCAAACCAAAGGACGTACCATGAAACGTCCAGGGTCTTCTCTATACAATTTACTTCATATGGGAGTGGTTATTCCTTGTTTGCGAGGATCATGAGAGCAGTCAGAAGACTTTGCATTGGAAGGGCAGCAACGGGCGAAAGAAAATATAGAGCCATTCATCCATTCCCCTCGACTAATTTTCAAAACGTCAAAGGAGTGATCAAATGATATAACACAAGTGATGGAGACGAGATTCCATTTCAAAGGTCCTAACAAAACAGACGTAAAATACGTCCATCCAAAAGCAAACAACAGTTGCCTGGTCTCCTTTCCGCTACACCCAAACTGAGGCTTCATTGTTGCGTTCTGCGTCAAAGCTACGTACCCTTCCCTGAACAGCAAATCTCCTCTCATTTTCCTCTGAACTTCACTTAACTTTACTCGAGCAGAGTGTCATCAATCGAATCGTCGATGCGTTTTCCAGACTCCCTTCCAATCTAACATTGAGGCCACATCCGCGAGGGACTGAATCAGCGAAGGGAACGCAACTTGGCTTTGTACTGTCTGTGCGAGTAGAAGGATTTTGGAACAAGAGAGCCCCATTATCCAAGTTCCTGGACACTTACATCCATCTTTCGCGTCCAGACACTGCCAACTAAGTACACACCCGAAGAAACGAATCTAGTCTGTAATTCGCTCAGGAAAAGCCGCCTACAGATCTACGTTGCAGAATTCCATCCCTGGTGAGCCATTAGTGGGTAAGCAAAGCCAAAATTGGACCTCGCACCAGCGGTATGTCAGAAGAATCGACTGTCAATGTTCTCAGCACTCGGCAATCAGCAACATCATCACCGAAAATATCACAGCAGTCATGCCGCAGGTCTTCGCAATCTCGCTCCAGCCGGTGCAGCAAATCGTCAACCCAAATCTCTGCTCTTGATCTTGACCATCAAGCCCGCGAAGAGTCAAAAGCATCCCAGAATGATGTACGTTCGGTCACTAATTTATTTCCAACATTCAGCGAAGGTGGAAGAGTGGATGAGGAGAATCAGGGATGACCGTTCTTGACAGGACACGAGGTCTGTCGGCAGCGCTTTTCGTTTCCAAACCAAGAGGAACACGTGCAGGATCCACCTTCAACAGACATCGAAGGGTCATCACAGAAACCATCCTACACCGATGGGGAAGGCCAAATTTGGACAGTAAACGATGGCTCTGAAGATTGTTTGGCGATCTTTCTTACCGAGGAGTTGATACAAGAAAGCAGAGCTGGAGGCCTGCGAAAACCTAACTTGGCAACTACATTGACCGCGACAAGCTCGAGGATGGCTGTTGTAACGACGATGGCTACTGGATGAAAGGGAAGCGGCCAATTCAACCGGACGTGAATCCTCAGCAACGCAAAGAGCGTAACAAAGCCCGGGCAACTAAAGTTTCTCAAGAGGCTTCAGAGATGCTAGGAAGCAATAAAGCCGTGAACTTTGACGACTGGTACGCAAAGACAATCTTGCCAACGTTAGTGTCAGTGTAGTAGACTTGATGACTATGTCGATGACTTGCAGAAATGGAAGGAGTACCGCAGGGTACTCTACTCAGGGAGAACAACATGAATGCTCCCTTGACGGATGATCTGTGGACTGTAGATATCGGCAATTTTGCAAGAAGGCGGTCCTTTCAGCACGTGCGTTTCAGAGTACAACACAAATGAAGAATTGTTGACAAACGTCCAGTGAGTTAGGGTGGCAGGACGCTGAACCGCCATGATCGCATCTGAATATGAGAGGGAATTGATGCGACTGTTTTTGCTACTTTGAAATTCAAGAACGGCTACAAATAACGATCAGCTCAAAAGCTTAAAAGAAAGGAGATGATACAGTCCCTCGAGCTCAGTCAGACGTCACAAGGTGCAGCTGAAAGACAAAGAACAACAAGCACCTCGAGAAATCAGACGAAGCCTCCTCCTTTATTCCCACTTATTCTGACCATTTCTTCTCGCTTCGGATACTACAGCGCTTTCTTCCTCACTGTACACCTGTCCAAACCTCTCCTCTTCTCTTGACCTACACCAAGCAGCACAGTATGTAGAAGTGGACCATCATGCAGGCGATGTTCGATCTAGCCTAAGACTGAGCGTTCAATACAATTTCAGAAAACAAGCCACACTCTAGAGCTGGTAGGGTCAAGTCGAACCAGACCCATGCTCTGAAATCTGGCATTCTTCTGATGAGGAGTTTTGCTTTCAAGACTTCTTTCTCGTGGCACAAAGACTAGACAAAGGATGCTAAATTGTCAAAGGGACAAGGGAGTCCCCTGGAAAAAGATCAAATTATTACCTTGCGCCTCCCCGGCTCACGCTCTGTTAATATTCGATGAATACTCGAGTCAGCGAGAATTCTCAGTACATCTTTATCAAATCTCGGGCAGATCCTCTTAGTCTTCAGTGACAGCGTCAACAGATATATTGAGCGGAACATAGCGACGCCTACCATGGACAGTGGAGTTAGCACTGACTCCCAAGAGCCTGTTGTTGGAGCCTCTGACTCTACAGACTACCAAACATCGTTGGTCGCGGAAGGACTGGATGTTCATCCATTCTGGTCATCAGCCAAAGCGGAAGGATTGGAGGATCCTCCACCTTATACAGCTGGACCGAGTCGCATCATCTCGGCGAATGATGGCACCAAGGACTGTCTGGCTCTTCTTCTTACGCCAAACTTGGTTGCAGCTCTCAATCAAATCACACACGACATCCTAGCATTGGAACGAAAGGATGGAGCGCTTGAAAAGATTGAATCGGAAATCACCGACTTGTCATGTAAAGCGGGCAAGGCGAAAGAGACAATAAGAAATTCGAGGTATCAAGAACGGGCGGAAGAGATGCAGCTGGCCTTGGAAATATTGCGATTAAAACAGCAAGAAGCCGAAGAGCGTAAGATCCATCTAAATATCGAATTGGTGCCTCTGGAAAACAGTCTGAAGTTTTCAAGAGGTCAATCCCAAGGAATCTTCGAAGAAGCTTTGCTCGAAGCATGCTTACTAGACCCACCAGAGCCGGCGAGTCCACCTGTACTCCACGACGTGGATGACGATGTCTCGTCTGGAGCCTGTTCATCCGCCCCGAGCATGTACGAGGGCACCGAGCCTACTCCGGAACAGCAATTGCTCCGAGAGGCCCATATGGATGTCATCGAAAGCTATGACACGCTGAGGACCTACCAAGCCAGATTCGATGACCGGCAAGCCGATTACGAACAAAAGCTGGCGGATTTCCAACAGGCCGAGGCCGAATCCGAGTGCACCCGGACCCATTTCGATCACCAACACATCCAGCACGTCCGAAATTTGACGAGGGATCTGATTTCTGCCGAACAGGGATACAGAACAGCAAAGGCGAAGGCTCGGGTGGTGGAGGTGGCTGCAGACCCCCACGACCTCAACGCTGATTTCGGCTACCTTGCCTATGACGGCGATCGAAGGAGCGACGACGTGTCGACTGAGCCGGACATTGGTCGTGAACGCATTGAGACTTGGTCGCGTGGTGTTTTGTCCGACCAGGATGCGGAGATTCCGGAGAATCAAGAGCGCTTGGATCTTGACGATTGGAATGCAAGGCCGGTTGAGATCATGGACAGTATCAGTGCGATCGATTGTGATGAGTATGTCGACGAGCTCAATGACTGGAAAGAGCACTGCAGGGTTCTCAGGGAGTATCTATCGATTCAATGAATCCAGACGGGAGGCTTGTAGGCTGTAGATATCAGCGCTCTTGATAAGTGGCTGTCAATGTATGCGAGAAATTTCGATACTTTGGAAAGCCATTTTGAATTTGAGATATAGATCGCAATCATTATTCGAGCAAGCACTAGAAGAGGTGGGTCTCTTGCATTTTGATTCACAGACTTTCGAACCCCTAGCCAGCTTTCGTAATGCGCAGGAGTTAACGGCCTTCAAATATGGAGCAGACACGCGGATCCCCCCGCGTCCTCAACACGAACCAGTATACTCTTTCCTAAAAGACATCCAGCCAGTGACTGCCGAAGATGGAATTGCTCGTTGCAGAATCCTCAAAGCTGTGGAGCAAATGCAGCGTAACATGGAAGAATGTCAGGCAGAGCTGGACTGTCGAAAGCAATATTACATCAGGGATCTGGCAACAGTCCGGCAAGGATTGGCAGCTGGCCGCAAATCAACGTCGATTGCAGATTGGCAGGGAAAGCGAGTACCAGAGGCTTATTGAGCGATATTCCTTGGGGCTGCACTTAGAGATCCTTGGGTGCTTTCGACATCCTCGTGTACATTGGCGCGCTAACGCTCCTTTATTTGATAACATTGTGGAAAAGGCTTCTCAATTGAGTCATTCTGTAGTACAAAAGACTATCATCCAACACAAGACACGCCCAAAATGTCGAAAACGAAACTGAAACCGGGGAATAACAGACATGTCAAGACACCGACACTCAAAACCCAATCAAGAACATGGACCCTGTTCCATGAAAGTTGCCTGCTGGAAAAGCCGCGTGGAATGTGTTCACTCTTTGTCAGCGTTCGGCGGTCAAAGCATACCTGTCTAGCCCTGGACAAGGTCTCTACCGAGTCGCCCTGAACTTCTGAGTCGCGTCATTGCAGTGGTTCAAAAAGAGAGGCAGAGATTTCGCGTTCAAGTCTCCCTCAATGGAACACTCGAGACCATAGCCCCGCGGAACAAGACGAGTGAAGTGAATGGTACTCATAGTCTTATAATGCGGTGCGTGATCTCCAAGGTCGGCATAGAGATACGGATGCGGTCCCTCCTGCAATCTCTCCGGGTTCTTAGGACCGTGGGACTTGTCAAAGATCGATACGTGCTCTTCCTGGTAGTCCCTGTTCTTATTCCGCAACCCTCTGTGGCGGTGAGTGTAGACCGGAGCGGCCAAAAAGTGGCGGTGGAACTTCGCTGCCACAACGAAGATACGCACTTTGGTGTGGATGTAGCCGTGCTTCCATTCTGAGACAGACCTGTCGTTCGTGATGTCGGATTTGCCGGACTCAAAATCATCGCCCTTGGGGCCCGTGCTGTTGGTCGTGGCGCCGGCTTGCCAGTCTTGCTCATGCAAAGGTGCCCTGATGATCATGCCGACTCTGCAGCGGTCTTTGTCGAGGATTTGTTTCTTCATCTTCGTCCAATTCAGGTCCATGCGGGCGAACTTTTCGGTTACTTTCGACATGGTAGCATTTTGCATTTTCGCAGGTTGCATTCCTTGTGCCCTACTGGCACCCAGGTTCTGGGGAGCGCGAGGGATGCTTGAGTATGGCTGACCTCTTGGTGGTGCAATGGGGCATCGTCTCTTGGAGCTAAGAGCGTTGCTGTAGGACACTCTCGGTGGTCCCGGCATAGTGCTGGAGCTTACACTCTGCACGCTCGGCTTTAGATGTACTAGGTAGACTCCCAGAGTCAACAGTAAGTATTCCGATTTGTGAGCTGAAAAGCTGAAATCTGGCTTCTGAGGCGTCCTATCTGAGAGAAGCAGGAAGGCACGCGTGGTGATCCCCTAGATGCGAAGGGAGCAGGAGGCGTATTGTAGCTGCTTTCAGTGCATGTAGAAAAGTCCACAACAACATAATGACAACCGGTACCTTTCAAGATGAGCATGCAGCCCAACTACCTGGTCTCCATTGACCATCGCAAAGCATAAACAAAGAGTCTACGTGAAGAAACAAAGAGGAACAAAGCAGAGAGCAAACCGCGTGAAACTAGTATGCTTTCATCAGAACATCAAACCATTTGCCTTTCTCTACTGCTGCACACGTCGGCCTGCCATTCCGTAGAGGAAATCCGTTGCGATTTCTAGCTTACCACAAGCTGTTGTACACTTACACAACGAAAAACATGTGAATCCCGCAACCACAGCCAATACCATTCTGGCGTAGTCCCATGATCGACGCCTCTACAGGGAGGATCCAACTGGGCAGCATCGAAACAAGCCTGCAAAAGACAAGCGCTATGGATCGTCCAAGTCAAAGCGATGGTAGTAGTTCAGGAGCAGACCTCGCAGATCTCGTAGGGCAAGAACCGGCGCAAAAGACTAGCGTAACATGAGCAACAAACTTTTCGAACAAGAGGAGGACAGATTACTCTCGACTGAGGACAGAAGAACCACTGCGAGTATAAAACCAGAACCGATCGACTGGGAACCGCAATACACGGAGGGTCCAAGCCGCATTGTGTCCCAATTCGATGGGACGAAAGATTGTTTAGCATTGCTCCTCACCGAGGAAGTCGTTCAAAACATCAAGAAGATCAACCGACAAAACCGAGCTGCTGAAAGGACGGGGAGGGTGGTGGATGCTGCTCAAACAAGAACTCTAGTTCTGGCAAAACGGCTTGATGGAAAAGAAATCATTCTCGACGGCGCCGAAGACCGAGGAGAGGCGGACCAAATTCGGCTTGAGGTAGAACAGTTGCGGTCAGAGCTGAACGAAGCCGAGGAGCAAAGAGACGATTTTAAGAACGAGCTGGAGAGTCTCAAGTTGACCCTTGAGTGTCCAAGAAAAGATCTGCAAGTCACACTCAAGCGTGCGTTGAAGATGTATCCCTGCTGGGGCCGGAAGAACCTGATATACCTTCTTCAATAGAAAAGGGTAGCAAGTCAACTGATTCGGGTCACAACTCAATCATCTCGAACAGCAGCAAGAGCATTGACCCAGGGTCCGAGGAGCTTCTCCGACTTGGAGCCGAGGGCAACATGCGACAGCTACCTGACTTTAAGTGAAGCTGAGGCAAATTTCGATAATCGGAGGTCCAGACTACAAACGGGAGCTATCGAACTATCATCAGCTCATCGCCACGGGAAGAATCAACCATACAATGACTGATTTCGACCGGCATGACATCAAGCATGTCAAAAGCAGCTGACAAGGAACCCGATCGAAGCCGAGAAGTCGCACAAGGCGGCAAAAGCTCAGGCCCAAGCCTTGGGAGTGCCTCAGATACAATACGATCCAAACCCGTACTATGAGGGTGATGATGATGGCTGTTGAATAAGTCAAGAGGTCCCTGAAGAAGTTCGATCGGACCTAGAGCGCATCGCAAAGTGGCTATCTTGCGTGTCTGATGCCGAAGACTCGACGATGTTGGGGAACGGCAGTAGGGCCGTGGACGTCGACGATTGGGACGCCAGGCCAATTGATGTGACCGACAGTGTCAGTGTTGTAGACCACAAAGGGTACGGGTGTAAAATTGGCAGTTGGCAAGAGCACTGCAGAGACTTGAGGGAAGGACAGACAATTCAACGGCACCCGCAGGCGGAAGATAGGTGGACTGCAGGCGTGAGAATGCCACATGGACGACGTTCTTATTAGGATGTATACAGTTGTCAATGATGCATAACTCTTGCGTAACGTGTTTTTCAGATGAAAACCATGCTGTACGAAGGACTTGCATTGAGTAGTTTAAAGTCATTCCTCCAGGACCGGTGAACACCGAGCACCAAGCAGATCAGAAAGCTGAAGCTATTATATACCACAGACTCCCATAACGTACATATGACGTGTGTCATTGGGAATATGTCGCTCGTAACGCTCCTCAACGCCATCGACACAAAATATATTACAAAGTGGTATCATTATCTATTCATCCATCCCCAAGAATCGAATGCTATGTCTTCGAAAAGTTCTTCCTCGATATCCACACCCCGTCCTTTCCTAAACCCATATATCCACTACCATCCTTGCCCACATCTCCAATCCTCCCATCTACGCTTTGTGCACCGGTCCCAACACCATAGACCTGACTCAACTCGACGTTTTTTCGATAATCTCTTTTCTTCTTCTGCTTCATTTCCATGCTGCCATTTACCCCATTTATCTGCTTCTCCGTTTTGCCGCCTCCGCCCCCAAATATTTTCTTCCATCCTTTCTTCTCCCGCGTTATACCATCGCCGGTCTTGGCTCTTGGGAGTGCGTCCATGCTTCCTTTTCCCCTTCCAACGGCAAAAGGTGGAGGTGGGCTAGACTCACCTCCACGGTTCTCCGTGGCTATATAAGCGCGGTTGAAGAAAGCGCCTGCCGAGGCTGTTGCTGGAGTGCCTGGTTCCGTCTTGGTGCCCGGATGCGGCGGAGAGGGTGGAGGAGTTGAAGCTAAGAAATCGAGGAGAGCTTGTGATGAGGCAGGGTTCAAGTAAAACGGTGTGTTATTTGTGGCGGTGGTCTTGTACTTGGGATTGGACTCAGGAGGATAGTCTTTGGAGGCTTCTCGGGAATGGTTGCTGGTTGTGGGTGCTGTTGTGTTTTGGAATTGAGATGGAGCAGCTGGGGCAAAGCGAGAGGGTGGAGGAACCTTTGGAGACGTTATGGTTGCATCACTGGTTTTCGGCGAGCGCACTGTAGCTATTGGAGGTGGCGTCGCACCTTGCTCAGCTCTCGAGGATGTTGTAGAGGGCGAGGGAGATGAGGCTGCCGTAGATGCGGAGGGAGGTTCGGGAGTCCGATGGGCTGGGTGGATTCCCAGTTCAGATTCAGCGGAAGCGGTATGTGCTCGAGCCACTAGACTAATCGCTGAGTCATTCTGGTGTAATTGGTTTGGAGTCGGAGATCTTTTGGTCTCAGGCGACGATAATCGGTTGGGGTATGGAGAGCTTATAGCGGTCTGGGCGCTAGAAAATGTAGGTGTAATGGATCGTGTATTAGGGTTGTAGAGTAGAGAACTTGATCGTTTTGGTGGTACCATGCCTTCTGTCTGCCGTTGCGATAGATCAGGATTTGAGTGCGTGAAGGCGTCTTGGCTTTTGTAATGGCGAAGAGGAAGATCGTTCGCATTTTTTGTAGCAAACCTGGTGTGTCGAGCTTTCTGGAGCAACGGATGTGCAGTATTTACATTTCCTTCCGAGTCGTCGAGCGCCGCAACAGGTTTAGCATAACGAGCCATTGGTGGCAATTCTGTCCTAGCGGGTGACTCTATTTGTTGAGAGGGGCCAGCTGGTACAGCACTGTCCAGAGATGGTGTTCGAGAATGCCCTGGTAGCCACGCGGAGCCAGCTGGCATTGCACGGTCAAGGGAGGTTGTCCGAGAATGCGCGGGGAAAGCCGGTACCCCATAAGAACTCTGAGTGGGGACATTTTTTCCCGCTCTGGTGTAGACTGGACTATCCCCACGGTCAGGGGGAAAATCGCTGGTTTTCATTGGCGATGTTGGACTTGCAGAATAAGTCGACATACTCATGGCTTGAGCTTTTCGAGTCGAGGAAGAACGTGCGACGATAGGACTGGAGGGGCGATTTTTTGGCGTAGGTTCGCCAGAAGGACTTTGTATTGGCAGATTGGTGCTGGAAAGCGCGTTTTCATCGTTTCGTTGAAACGAAGGCTTCATGCGGAGAAGCGAACGGGCTTGCTCAGTGATTGATCTCCTTCTCGAAGCCGATCGTTCTGGGACTGGAGGTCTGGATGCCGCTGCCATCCCTGCCATTACTTGAGCTGGAGTCTTAAAGTGCACCACAGTATTGGGACTTTTGGCGCGTGGCTCCGTCTCCTCGTTTTCGCTTTGAAGATGGTCGTTCGGCGCTGGTGACGGAGTCTGAGCTGACCTCACCGGTTCCGGGCTTCTAACCGTCCTAGTAGGCTCTGGACTTCTGACAGGTCTCAGCGTTTGTGAACTTTTGGTTGATAAATCTGGAACAGGACTTCTGGCCGATCTCACCGGGTCTGGGCTTTTCGTTGACCTTATCGGTTCTGGACTTCTCGCCGTCCTTGTTGGCTCTGGGCTTCGGACGGGTCTCAACGTTTGTGAAGTCTTCGTAGACAAGCCCGGTTGCTGACCTCGCGCAGTCATTGATGGTTCAGGACTTCGTGACGGCACGACAGGATTTGGACTTCTAGCTCTCGGCGCAAGATCACGCCTCATGGCTGGACTGGCTAGCCCTGCTTGTGTCTGTTCCATCCGAGGAGAGGATGTGGCGGACTCATTCACTGAGGTCTTAATAAATCTTTGGGATGAAGCTGTGCGAGCAGCAGGATCAGGACCTGTCGGCAATGTCTTCAATGGCGATCTAGGGGGAGTTGCTGTATGCTGTGGACTCTCAGCGCGTGGCTCGACATTGTACCTGCCGTTGACCGGCCTCGAAGGAGGCACCTGGCTCTGTTAGCTAAAGTAGACGCATTCTTGTCGGAAATTAGCTTGCCAGATTCTTTCGACTTGCAGCACCTGCTCTTCTTTGCATCTCTGCAACAATGGTTCCCAGTTGAACGAGAGCCTTTCGCAGATGTCCCCCTTTTGATTGTAGAGTCAAAAAAGCCCTCGTCCATCCCTCGGTATTCCCGATCATGGCTAGGTATACAGAGTCGTGTTCTTCTGTTCGATCCTCCCACTGCTTGTCGACTCTCGTCATGTATTTTGCAAGCTCCCTTGTCGCATCTAGGCCCTTTTGTACATCTTTCAAAGCATCGTTCATAGCTGCTGCTGTTCGGTCTATTATATGTTCGATCTTCTCGTTACCTTCGACAATCGCTACACGGAAAGGCCGATCTGCGAGCATCTGATCGAAGACTTGGCCATGCTCCAGTGGGAGTTTGAGGTATCGTATGCGCTCATTGATGTCGTTCTGGGCTAGATCAAAGTCTTCGGTGGTCCGCTCGAGGAAGCCGTCGACTTCATCGACGTGTGTCTGTAGTATCTTGAGAACCTCCTCATCCGATTTGGCCAAGCCCTGCTGCAGAAGATGCATCCCAAATGAGATCTGAGCTACAAGCTTCCACAGCGGATGGAACTTTTCTCCCGGTTTTTGCTTCCAACGTCCCGCCACTGTGCGCTCGTATTCTTGCTGTTCCAGCAGCATCTTCCGCCTCGTCACCGAATCTGCCTTGGAGTATCGATCTGGCACCTCTGGCTCGTCATCGTTCATGGTCTCGTTCATAGATTCCTCAAAGGCGCCTTGCATTGTAGGCACCGGATGCACGGGGGGGGCGGTATCAAACTCGCTTTCGGAACCACTCTCCATATCTTCTTCTGCCATGGTGACAGGTATGTCCCACGCACTGCTCTCCCTCCCCTCTTCTATTGTAGATATTACCATTATGTATGTCTTGCTTGCCTCGGTGTCACACGGGCGGATCTATGATGTTTCAAATGCAGGGAAGCAAAGCGCGGACCACTCGTTTTTGTCGGATTGTGGGGGTGGAAGGGTAGGGCGTCGGGTCCTCCTTCTGTGGGTGTGGTGTCAGTCGCTGGAACCGCATCGCTGAAAATAGCCCATGTGGAGAAGCGGTCCAATGCAAAAGGCAACGCGTAAGAGCAAGAAGCGATGTAAAGCGACGTGCAGGTACTCTAGAATGAGCTTTGGAAGGAGGGCGAGGGAAGACAGCTGTTCGCTCGCAAGGTTCATTACATGATGATGAGAAGATAGAAGATTGAAGCGGTGTCTGTAATTAATCGTCAATGCAATTTCATAAAATTTGGACGAGCCGTCTATCCAAGGTGACCAAATGAATAGGCTTAGGGAAGGGCCTGGCAAGGGTCCTTGCTACGCCTTCGGGAGCATTGACTTAGCACTTGTCATTCAAAGCTTCCAAGCTCAACTAAACCTACTAGTGGGAATGATTTGTGTTTCGAAATCTGCCCCTGTCAGCCTGACACGAAATATCTCTCTCATACAATACCCGTGACGGTCAATCTCATCTTGGGTGGTAGATAACCCATCTATATTGGCGAAAAAGCGCGTGCCAACGTCTTTTACCACGTTAACAGCTAGCGAAACCACGTATCAAAATACTATCGGCTTTATTTAGCATTTCTTCAAGAATACGAAGGTGCTTGGGAATACGGGGTTTGGCGGTGAGCATTTATACACGACCAGCACAAATGGAAAAGCTATTACGGATGAAGTTGCATCATGCATAACTAGAGGGAGCGTATCACAGTACGGCGAAGATTAAGTTTATTGGCCGTCGATTGCGATTGCGATCAGATCATCAAAACATTCTACCAAAATGGCATTTGATGCGAAACCTCTTCTTCCCCTTCCATCCCAGGCGCAGCTTCGCGAAGCTTTTGTCGGCAAGGAATTGGAACATGTGCCCACGCCGGCCGCGGTCCTGGATAAGGCCGTCGTGAAAAGGAATTGCCTCCAAATGTTGAAGGCGTGTGAAGCTCTCCAGGTCGGATTCCGGCCTCATGTCAAGACCCACAAGGTATACGTCCGCACTTTCTTGTCTTTGTGTACAGTTTCCATCCACTGAGGAACAGATTCTTCAATCCATGCGCTGTTTCATGTGGGATCTGTCGCGCAAGTGGCTAATGTTAATGGGCTTGAGCATGTCTACGTATACAATGTGCCTATCGAAATCTGTCCGTTGTGTGCCTCAAATACAGCTTCGTCGATCTGTCTGCTCGAACATAATAGCCGCGATCACAGTCTTCCGACAAGTCCGCTGTGGTCACGCGGGTATGGAAAACTTATGTAGAAGTCAATTACGAAGCCATTCAATGTGATAGACTTTCCGAGAAAACGGCGGTAGAAGACATGAAGAAGAATGAATGAATCTGCATCTCCTTGGGTCATTCGCCGCTGTGTATCCATCGACGTCTTTTTTGCCATTCATCTAGTTCTAAAGCTAATCGATCAATACTAAGACCGTGGAAGTCGCCCAACTGCAGCTTGGCGACGGAATCAATGATGTCAAAGTAATTGTTTCAACGGTGGCAGAGGCCGAGCATCTGTCTGACTTCCTCTTGACAAGTCGAGAATCGCGGCGAAGTGTCAACGTAAGTACTGTAACAGGTTCTCCAAGCGCATCTTCGGATTCTGAAGGGTTATGCCAGATACTCTACGGTATCCCCTTACCTCCTTCTCAAATCGAACGGTTAGCGCACTTGGGCAAGAAGATTGGAAGCGAAAGCATAAGCGTCCTTGTGGACAACAGATCCCAGCTTCAGGCCGCTAGAGCATTCAGGGATGTGGCAGGTTTTCCACTTAAAGTGTTTGTCAAAATTGATACGGGTTATCATCGAGCAGGAGTGGTGGTCGGAACCGAAAAATTCAATTGCCTCATCATCGACATTCTCGACGACGAGTCTCGCGGGACTGTGGAACTCCTGGGCTTCTACAGTCATGCTGGCCACTCATATGGAGGTGACTCTGCGCTTGGCGCAATGGAACTCCTCATCGTCGAGCTTGAAGGACTAGAGAAAGCGGCAAACGATGCTTCAAAAGCTCGCGATCACGCGCCAATGAGCCAGAAATACGTCCTTTCAGTGGGAGCCACCCCAACAGCGACGTCTATAGAGAACATGCTTGAAAGATCCGCTCAAGCAGAATCTCCAATGGGAGGAGAGATAGCCAAGTTGAAGAAGGTAATTGAACGTGTCAAAGCCACTCATGCCATTGAAATACATGCTGGAGTCTATCCGTTCCTAGACATGCAACAACTGGCCACGCAAGCCAGTCCCTCGGCTCTACCTGCCAATCCGAAATACGACAATTCAGGCCTGTCGACCGCGGACATTGCATTGACCATCATGGCTGAAGTTGCAAGCGTGTACGAAAGTCGTGACAGTCCGGAAGCGCTGATGGCAGCTGGATCGTTGGCGCTGGGACGTGACCCTTGCAAATCGTACAACGGATGGGGCATCGTCAGTGACTGGGGTATGTCTACGAACAATTCTGAAGGGAGGTCTGGTACGTCATGCTTCCGAGGAAATTCTTCCCCATTCATGCTATCTTATGAGTCGTCAGACATGTTTAAAGAGTATTCTGCTCCTAAGACATGTCTCGCAACTCAAAATGCCTCCCGAAAGAGTAATGCTAAATCCGAAATCATCAAGGCTGGCAGGTCGGACGCATCAGTCAGGAACATGGTATATTGATAAAGGATTCACAGCGTGAAAGCCATGAGCTGGCAGAGTTGAAGATCGGCCAAAAGGTAAGGGTGTGGCCCAACCACGCTTGTGTCGCTGGCGCGGGCTTTGGGTGGTATCTGGTTGTTGATTCAAGCCTGCCTGAAGAAAGGCGAGACCAAGTTGTGGATGTCTGGGTCAGATGTCGAGGGTGGTGATCGCGCGACGGCAAGCATGAGCATGGTTGGGGTGAAATATGACGCTTCGAGAAATTGACATTGAATACTTTCGTCAGATGCTATTATTTCCTCGAGCCTCTGCTGTGCTTGTTCCAACCATTATCTAAATCGTCTTTTTCTACTTCTTTTGGCCCGGCTTCTCTTCTTTCGACCGCTTCGATTGACCACTCCACTCGTTTGATCTGAGCCTCCGGTCTTATAACCTTGCGAACCCTATGTTCCTTCGCCCCCACCGACGTCTTACCGTGCTTGGATCTCTCAATCTACTGCTGATACCTCCCCACCTCTGCTCATCAAAAAACCCCCCGTGTCCACCTCAGACTCGTACGCTCGGCCATACGAATACGCTAAAGTCACGGAGTCCCACTTCAATCCTCTTCAACTTGATTTTCACTTCTCCGGTCCGGTCTATGTCTCTGCTGAATTTGTCGATTCATGTGATGTAGGCCTGCTGGGTGTGTGATAATAATCTACCGACGACTCTACGGAGGTGTCGGCCAGAAACCAGGTAACCCTATAACCTACCTCTTGTGCCTTTTGTTATCGTGTCTTTGCCGATCAAGCTGGGCCGATCGTTGCTAGCAATCAGTAAACTTTCCAACCTCCAGGAGTCAAGATGGCAAAAGAAAGAATGAAGAATGGTTGTGTTTAGGCAGGCTTTTGATTGGTTGACAAGCGAGACGACTTGGCGTGGGGAAGTGATGGTCCGAGGTCCCCCTCCCAGCGGGAAGGACCAAACCAGTGGGTGCAGGAACGGCAGTCTTCCGTCAGCCCAATTCAAGCTCGTCGATTGCACCTCACCCGACGCAGGACACTTTCCATTCAAGAAGAAGAAGAAGAAGAAGAAGATGGAGCAGAGTGCAGAATGCCCTGCAGATGCCACGAGACGAGTGACGCACATTTGCCACAGTGTCAACCAAGTGCCGACAGGAGAGAATGCACCCCGCCATTTCCAAGTCGTTTCTGCCCGATCACATCCTCCCGGGCTGCAGCAAAATGCAGGCTTGGCATGCCACCCTCCATGATACATTTCGATGTTTTTTGCCATCCTCGGAGATGGTAGATCTGGATATACCTAAAGTACCTACTGGATCAGTGCTTTGCGCAGGCACTACGGGTAAATGTAATACAGTATAAGTAATCAAGGCTCGGACCAATCTACTTTTAACAAAATGGAAAGTCAGGGGTGCTGATAAGGACTTTGCTTCGGATCCACTTTTATTATTGGAAAAGACGTTCGAGATAAGGGAAGCCAAGGGTTTAGCGGGTCCACGGGTTTTGGACATGCCAAACGTCTTATCAAAGTAATCAGTCTTTTTTGACTCCCAAATCCCAATCCTCCTATCGCTTCAGCTCAGCCACCGTTGATCTAGGCCCCAGAGACTTTGATAAGGAGTCCATCGTCGTCAATTGGTGGTATATCCACGATGATATGTATGCTGACATCTATCCCGCCCCCCGTGCTGCTCACGGCTTGCACTACACAGGCTCTGCATCACACGAATTTGGTTACTTGTGCGCCTCCCACATGCATCTCCGCGCTGTCAAATACCTACCTTAAACATTGCCATCTGGTACTCCCAAAGACGCCGTGGGGATAGATCTGGCCGACTGTCAGATCGCCCTGTGGCTTCAAATTTCCCTTATCAGGACCGCCGAATGCCAAATTCTAACCTCAAAGTTGAATCCCTACGAGCCAATCCCTAGTCTGTCTTGTCTACAGATCTTCCATTTCTTTTCCTAATCCGCGGACATATCGTCACTTTCTGGGGAGTGACAGGTGATAAACCCGGAGAAAGCAGATCTTTCTTCCCATCTTTAACCATCTAACCCTCCATTATCTCGGTCTTTTCTCTTGTACAAATACTTTGCCTTTCCACAAAGGCACCTTCCTCCCCAAACATTCTTCGGATTCTGTTCTACTTCTACCCTTCCATAGCCAAGAGTCTCGACAAACTTGAGAACCCACGATAATGTATGATATCACAACGTTATGGAGGGC